GAGTACAAGTACCACTGCAGGGAAGTGTAATACAAGAGCAAATGATGGGAAAGGTTTGGACTGGTAAGGAAAAGTCCTCTTTTATCCGCCCTTTTGCTTGAGACATTCACATTTGGTTTCTTTGCTTTGTGGTACTAAAGTACTTGCTCTGTCCTACCAGGAATTTACAGTGAATTGTTAACTAAAAAAATAAAATCAAAAACCAAACCAAACTAACAAAAATAAAGCAAAAAAAAAGGAAAACAAAGCCAATGAACAATGGGACGTCAGTTGGCAACTAACCATCAAAAGAAAACATCAAATACTCTCAGTTTTCACTTTGGCACAGTATTACTTTTCAAGAAGCATTTTCCTTGAAATGCAGTTTTACAGATTAAGTACTGTAAGGTCTGTGTTCATAAAGGAAGGGAGAAAAAAAAAAAATCTTTTTCACAAATTGATTGTAAATAAAACATTTTTAAAAATGCTTTTGAAGTGGCAAATATGACCAAATAGTATCTGCCACAAAGAACTTCAGCAATTTTATAGACAACATAAGTTTGAAATCTAGGGGACTTATACAACACAAACCTGCTCTTTCTCCAGCATATCTGCTTTTCTTAGTATCTTCATTGCATAAATATGACCTGTATCCTTCTTCTGAACAAGGCGCACCTATAATGAGAAATACAACCCAATCAATCTTTTCTACCTCAGAAACTAGACCCTAGCGTGGAATCTACTGGAAGGCTCAAAATTGCTAGGCGTGGAAAAGTTCTTTTGTTAAACATTTAAAAGCACATGGAAAAAAGTATTTCTACACCATGTACAACACTAAAACACTAGTGAAGAATGGCTAGTATGAAGTAGTTATTTTTTTAGGAAAATTTAGCAGGCACAGTAAATTCCAGGTAGCTGTGAGATTGCGTATGCTAAAATTCAGGAGCAGGTACAACTGTGGTGCAACACAGGCAGGGAGGATGTTTACAAAGAGAAGCTGTGCAACTGCAAATCCATCATTTCAAGAGGCCACACAGGCAACATCAGTTTGGGAAGCTATGGGAAACTCAGGGCCTTTCCAAGGGCCTTGAGAAATCGATGCATGCAATTCATTATTGGACTTACCACACTTGCACAATTACTCAAATAGCTATTCTGCAATAAAACTCCAACTGGAACGTTTTATTCTATAATTAAAGTGTTTCATTTTAACATTAAATCCAATTTTAATATTCCATTCAAGCAAGAATGCCACAAACCTCTCCAAATGCTCCTCTTCCTATAACTTTCAAAGATTCAAAGTCATCCAAGCCGAGTCTAGTCCTCTTCAGTCGCAGAAACTCTGTTTCCTTGCGAGCGTGTTGCGACCTGCGCAGTTTTTTCTAAGGATACACATACACAGAAATTTGTAAGTCGTTTGACAGTAGAAAGTCAAGATACACAATCTCCGTTCCTGTGAAGTAGTCTCTCTCCCATTAGGATTACAGAGAAAATCTAAAAGGAGAAGTCTTTCTGAGTTTCTTAAAGTAAGATCCACAAACACCATCTTTTATATAGAGGCCTCAGGCCCAGTTTCACTTTTTTGGGGGGAGAGGGGTGTGGGTTTGTTTTTTTTTTTATTACTTAGGTATAAAGAAACAGTAATAAAAAATAATGAAAAAAAAATCATACTGGTTCCAACAAAGTACATCAGTCCAAAGGCCAAAGTGACTAACTGAGACAAGGACTCTTGTTTTCGGGCGGTGTGAAGGATCAATAAAAGCTGAAACTTGCACCCCACTGAGAAAAGTGATGACAGGCAACAAGAAGCCTAACAGGCAGTAGAGATCCAACTTACGCTATCTATAGCAAAATCCATTTGGTTTATGCCAGGTAAACACTTGTATTTTTAAGAAAAATCTGTCCAAATCCCATCATATATTTTGTTCTCTAAAAATGTCAATGGGATTCACCCTGAGAGAAGACAAACACTGACCTATGCTCCCAAAGGTGCCGAGATGATCTGAGACTGCTAACCAGATCCATCCATCAGCCACCCGCCAGATTTTGTACTAGGATGACAGTGTCATTTAAAACCACAAGATGGCACTACACACCCACACTCGCTTCTCCCTCTTCCCAGAAGTTACAGCAGCCACACAAACTCAGAAATGACGGAGGCACTGTTCCTACTTATTTCCCTGCCTACCTCGAAGGCAGTACAGGCAGCCATGGTGTGATGGACCTCAGAAAAGCAACTTATTGACCAAAGTTCTGAGAGGTGCCAACCGGACAGAGGTCCCTCCTGATCAATACCCAAATGGAGCAAGTGTGTGCCCAGTTTATTGTTTAAATCAAGAAAAAATGGTTCAGCATTTTGCGTTCTATGCACCTCTATGCACATCTCACCTTTTTTCTTGCCAAATATAATGGCAAACAATTTTAATCTTTGAAAAGCATGCTATATACTTGCTGCAGCTATATGTCTCATAAGGACTAACGGTGGCATGAAAAGCCTTAGCTATTGCAAGTATCATTCAAACACATTCCTTAATAGCTTCCTTATTAAACAAGTTATTTACAGGGGCAACATTCATTTACAAAATAAAACTTAATGTCATGCTAGCTAATGTTTCTGTAAGCTCCTCAAATGACAATCTGAAGTAGTGCAACAAAAGCAAAGCAGTCTCTTCAAAGGTTACTTAAGTAGTATTTACCTCCTCATCTGCGAGGCCTTCCTCTTCCATAGCCACTTCTAGTTTCTTCTGCCTGGGAAGGGGAGAAACAGGAGATTGCTTTTTTTTATTATGTATTAAAAACAAACATAACAATACAGCAAGGATTACAAATCAGAATAAACATTTTTTTTCACCATTTCTATCTCAGCTCTACCTCTGACACCTCAGCCAAGTCCAGCTTTCACCCCCAGTCCCAGCCTTGCTGACCTCCCCCTGCTCACACACCTGGTCCTGCTCCCCTTACTCTCATGCCAACTAACCCTAACCCCGCAGGATTCATCATCATCTCCTCCCAGTGTCCTGCCTGGGCCAGGGCTCACCGGTCCCAGGGCTCCTCCAGCTGGTGCCACGCCAGGCTGGGAGGGTCTGGGCATGGAGTGAAGCCTGGGAGTACCCCACAGGTAGCAGGGGGTCAGCACATGGCAATGTATCCTACTGGACCCCTCTTTTTCCACTCACAGGATGCTTCTTTATGACTGTCAGCGTACAGCTTTTAGAATGCTGGTTACCCACTAGTGATGGCCAAGAGTCTGAAGACTGGGTGCCAGGCTGCTGGTGTCTTTCTGCACTTTGGGAAGTACAGCAGGATCCCTTAAATCAAAGGCCCTCGGTAGACAGTCTGTTCTCCTAACTAGAAACAACTCAATTACATGGGATAATGACTAAATATGATGAAGAGAGAAATCCTGCTGCTTGGTTGAAAACCCCTCAATTAAAAATATATTACCAGGGGAATGATAATTTCACATGCTGATGACAATTTGAAACACAACATTCATTATAATCAAATGCTTGGCGCTTCGACACTTAATTCAAGTAGCACTTTACTACATCAGAGGCAGAACTGGGCACCAATAAGAGAAGTTAAAGTGGAGATGACCAACACATACCCCCACACAAGGAGTACCCGTCAACACTACCCAAGAAGAATTTAGAGGTGGGTATTACATTATCCTCAAAATTCTTCCTGCCCACCCAAGAGCCCCTCAAACCCAACATGACGAACCCTATGCTCTTTACTGCCCCTTATTTCCACCCCAGGCCACCCCCAGCTTTCTGCCTCCTCTCCTTACCCCATCACCCTGTCAAACACCTCTCCTATCAGTCCTGTTCCCTACCTCCTATACACTCCCTTCTGCAGGGTTTACGAGTCTTGGCATGATCTCCAAGCTGCACAGCATGAAAAGACACCACCAGCCACTGCCTTACACAAAACCAAGTAACCACCCGTCAGCAGCTCTTCCCCATGGCACACATGGAGGAATCTGAGGTCACCAACCCCACACCGAGCAGTAGCATCCTCACATGTGCTGCAAAATAAGACCCTGCACTGAGCAGTTTCCACAAAGTAGTAATAGTTTGATGAGGAGGTAAAATGAGAACGTCAGAATTGGAGGTCCTTGGTGACTCAGTGACTGCTTGGTGCAGTAGCAGGGCATGTTCACAGGTCTACCAATACAGCCAGCAGCCAAAAGTTAGCCTGTGCCTGTTGGGGTTTAGCTTCTTGCTATCAAGTGCAGAAAAACTTCTGAAAACTTCTCCCTGCACAAGGATCAAAGTGGACAAACACTGCCAACAGCCAACTAAGAAAAGACAGAAAGGAGTGAGAGGAAGCAGAGTCAGTACCTGGTTTCTCTCTCTTCGTGCTGTATAATTAGGTTGCTGTAGAAGTTCTCCAGCGTAAGTTTGGCCACTGTCACTCTCTCTCGGGTGTGGTTACTCATGGGAAAGGATGTTGTAGTCCCTGCAGTCATCGCCATGGTAACATGTACTGAAACAGAGCATGTCAAACCATTACTCACTTGAAGAAAAAAAAAATTAAAAAAAATTTCCTCTTTCCCACTCTCCATCTCCAAATTCTTAGATGCTATAGAATTCACAGGAAAGGCACTGTTCTTTAGATATAAGAAACTCCATTAAAAAAAACTGTATTATAAAATTATCCTGAAATAAGCAGGAGGACTTACTACCCACTCTCTAAAAAAAACCCAAACCAAACCAACATGTTGGCAAAACAAAGGGTGAATCATAGCAAAGAATTATGCAGGCTACAGGCAGCTCATGCAGCAGTGCTTGTCCACAAACAAGGAAAATGTACCTCCAGCGGAGTCCAGCCTGGGGCAGGGAAGAGGTGGCAGAGGGTGGAAAGGAGCAGGGGGAAGCGAGAGGAGGACCAGGCAGCTCCTACAGCTGGACGTATCACAACTCTGACAATATCAGACTCCGGAAATTCTAGGTGCTACAAAAGGACAGGATAAAATGAAAAAGTAAATGGACAAAACCCCTAGTCCTATCCAGAGGGGAAGCTATTTCAAGGCTAGAAATAGCCATCAAATATCTTTGAATTTTAAAGCCGCTCAACAAAGTTATGTGTGGACTGTTGGGGGGATTTCTAGAAATCACATGAAAATGAAATAATGGAATTGACATATTTTAAATGGAAAACTTCAGTTGCTGGTTTTTTGTTTGTTTGGTTTTTTTAAAGTAACAACCAACCACCAAGAATAGAAAACCCTTCCCCACCACAAGGCCATTAGGCAGACAGTCTTTCCATTTGTTTCCTTTCCAGCCACCTCTGTGCCATGCTGCTGATGAAATAAGTGTTTTCTGGAGCAGCTGTTCATTAGAGCTCCCTGTGTCTGGCTTCTCAAACTTGGGAGGGAATCTTCTTATGACCTATAAGTACTTATAGGTCAGGGCACATGGTCACTGAACACCTCGAAACTGGGAAGAAAGAGAAAAGAAGAAAGGCTGCTCTCTTTGATAGCTTGCATCTTGAACCCAAAGAATTTCGAGGTACTAGAACAATGCTTTTCAAGCTGGGGAAAGACATCTTAGAGCAGTCCTGAGTCCCTTGCAGCTGGTCTAGGGAAGCCAGGAGAGATTACAAAAAAAAAAAAAGGCCCAGGACACTTTGTCCTAGGACACACGCCCTACCTGGAAGTGGCCGAGAGCCTCACGGAGGGGAGCCATGAACAGCAGCGTCTCAGCCCCAGCTTGTTTTGAGGTTAGTTTTGGAAAATTACACAGAAGGACATACAATTCCTTTTGATTATGTACGTAATCCTTCTATTTCACCAGGGGATTTTGAGGAAGACAAATCCCAAATTAGGCTTATGATCTTCAAGCAGATCCTAATACCTTTTAAGGTGAACCAATTAAAAGCTTCATACAGAAGAAAACTTGCACGTCCACATCAGGACAGGAAGACTGCTTAACTCTGCTCTGGGTTTTTTGTTTTGGATCTGCCTGCTACCGCCTGTGAGGACAACATTTTATCTTGTGGATTTTTAATTGGATTTGTTGCGACAATAAGATATTTGTTGCCAGAAACGCAGCTGCTGTGTCACAAATAAAGGCATTTTCTAACGCTATGTAGATATTATTTTAGCTGTGTATTTTGGAATGCACAAGATGCCGGAGTTCTGAGAATAAAAATGTATCTCTATACATATACAAAGAGGTTTTAATAGCACTACAGCTGCTTTAAGATGATGTCAATATTTCTATTTTTTAATAAATCTTTTATCCCCTTCAGTTTTCTACTAAAGAAAGATGAGAGCTGTCAACTCTTAATAGTCTCTACTAGAAATTAAAGGGTTCTATTTTTCCATACAAATATGTACCCCATATTGGACTTTTCTCCAAAAGCTGGGAGAACTTAGCACTGCTTTCCAACTCTGCTGTACAATATCACACTCTCTTTCCCCCTTGACAGGTCGGAAAAGACAAATAAAAACAGGTATCTATCTGAGAGCAAAACCTACAGCATGTTGACACACCCAAATCAAACAGCAACTGCTGACCACACACTAGCATCTGCAATTAAGTTATTTCAAGAAATGACCTAATAGAGTAAAAACCCGCCTTCTGATCATTTTGGAGTGTCAGGATAGCATAGCATTAACACAGGCTTGAAATGGATTAACCTTTACTTAAGGTATAATGAGCACACTCTAGCACCAGCAAGCAACAGGATATTTATCCTTTGCACGTCTTGTATTCCTGGTAGGATAAAATAACATGCAATTTTACTTCCTGTTAATTTGTTTTTCTCATGCTCCTATACTCTGAAATGCAGACATTACCAAATAGCAAATCTAAGTCACTTGATTTTATTAAGCCTGTAAAAAGGAGATAACAATTCTGGCACTAGCACAACATGCTATAAATAGCGGGGCTGACCCTCGCTACTGGTTCTACAGTAGGAAAATACAGACAAGAACCCAACCCGTAAACTAGCGAGCTCAGAAAAAGCTCTTTACCAGAAAAGAAACTTGTACGGACTTCACAGTCACACCACAGCGTAAGCCCACCAAAACAGGAGGGATACATCACCAGAAGTGTTTGCTTCCAGCATCACATGTATCCTGCACACATCCCACCAGCCCTGTCTCCAAACCATGCTGTATCACAGCACAACATCTCCTTAAGACAGAATTTACATTTGCTTAGTTTGCAATTGGTGCCCCCAGTTAGCTCTGTCACTGTGGAGGAAAGAAGAGAAAAAAAAAAAAAGGGGGGGGGGGGGGGCATTTGCACCGATTACTGAAAATGGGGGGGAGAAAAAAAGAGATAAAACAGCTTTGTAAAACCAATAAATGCTCTAAGCTCTTCAGGTTCCCCAAAGCAAGTGGAAAAGCGCACAGACCTGGCAGGAGACACAAGGTACCCTATAAAATTCTGCATCAACTCACAGTCAAGAAAACCTCTTCATCCTTTCCTCCCGCTTCTCTGGTTCCACTAACAAACCCCCAAACAAAGCACAAATCCACATCCCGAACAAAATATTCAGTTGGGAGTAACCAAGTAAGGTCCTTAAGCATGACCTTTATAAACAAATGATGCCAGAGGGGATGAGGGTGGGAAGGAAGAAGCTTCAAAATGGGGCCTTTTATTGACAGCACACTACTACTACTGACCTCACCACATTAACGGGAATGTTTTGAAAAGGTGCCATCCATAGTTCTTGGAAATGCCCTCAAAACCCTACTAATTCACCCAAATTCATGCCATTTGAATAATGGAATCATTCTACTCCTGCTGCATCATCGGCCTTGCATTAGGCTCCCTGGACCTTGAAGACGGTCATATCAAACCAGCCAGCCGCGTTTGGCCAAATCTCCTCTGGCCGAAAAGGGTCCAAGGACCTTTATTTCCAAAGGGCCTGTTACTTCGCGAAAAAAATGATACACCACTGGGCATGAATAAGAGAGACATCAAACCAATCTAATTGACAGGAGACACTGAGCAGCACACAGCCTGCAGGACAAGGTTTCAGAGCTGCCAGAAGCAGAGACACCGTATGTGCTGCTTGGCCCAGAAATCAAGCTTGTGCCTCCTGGATGGATGGCTGAACTCACAGCATGAGCCTTTCTCCTGATGCCTGCTCAGCTCAGCAGCAAGCGCCATCAGCATGGGGATGAGGAGCTACAGATGTGTGGCAACCAGGGAAAATCTTGCCCCCAGAGGCAGGTGGGACAGGAGCATAGCAGGGAGGAGCTGAAGGATGTTCCTGAAGGACAGGGGAGAGCAGGGTACAGCAGCAGAAAGGGGACAGCAGGCCCAGTGCCAACGAACCAGAGTTTTCAAGAGTCTCCTCTAAGCAAGTCTCTCCTGACCCACCACAGAATAGAATATTTCCTTTGGAAGGGACCTCTCCTTTCTGGTAGAAAAATGCTGCCTGGTCAAAGCATACATTTGTCTTTTTTTATTCCTGATTGGGAAGCAGACAAAGGCCAAGCAGTGTTTACTACAACTTCAATCTGTGCTCCCATCTATCACAACAGCTCTAAGTCAAACCCTTCGTTGATTTTCCTGAGTTTCCAGTGTTGAAAACTCCACACCCAGCTTCTGCTACACAACCAGTAACTCAAAACTCACATCCTCTCTGGGGTGCTTCTTGGCAGCTCCCACAGTCTGTTGTCAATCTTTTAATATTAGACTATCAGATTAAGACTCTGGTTAATAAGAGCACAATCACTGAGGCATCCAATCCCACCTGCTGCAACAACTCATAAGGGGAGAAATGGAAGAAATCAAGGCACCTGGAGAACTGTTCTCCCCTGAAAGAAACACTTGGCACTTTGTGGGACTACTTTCTAATCATGGAGGGGTGAGAACACAAAATCCAAGCCTCTCACACATCATCTCCAGCCTTGGGCATCCAGGATGCATGAAGGCAAGAGAGAGCACAGAGCTGTTGCTTGGCAGAAAGGAAGGATGGAGGTTTGACAGCCTTGGTAATTTCAGAGCCTATTTGTACATATCCAGGTAGCTCTAGACTTTAAAAGAGAAAAGGATAACAAGGCATGAAACAGAATCCCAACACAGATATGCTACAAGATCTCAAGAAAGCCGCTTTATTACCCCATGGCATACTTTCCAGCCTGTAAAATGGAGCAACAGGACAGGGATATGGAGTAGGGAGCATAATCGCAACGCTTCACATCACCAAACATTTGAACTGTAGTGATAATGAAGATTTAAATACTTTGACAGGAAATATAAAAACAAACACAAACAAAACCAACAAAACATGGTAAAACAACAACACCCCATCCAAAGCACATGAGTTCATTATTTCAGATCCTTCTAATATATTCTTCCAACCTTTCATGTTTACTTTTTCAAGTAAAAGAGCAAGTCTGTGCCAGTTAGACAGTGGTGGGTATCACGACCGGGCTTCACTTCTGTAAGAATGGGTTTGAAGGTGCCAGTCTCTTTACCAGCAAGTCTCCTGCACAACTGTGTTAGATCAT